AAGAGTGTCCCAAAATTCGCGCGAGATTTGAATTTTGCGCCATTTTCGTGGTACAGTTTTGACAACGGGAAAAGATAGACAGCGTGGCAGTTGATATTTCAAGGTTATTAATAGTGAGCACTACATGAAAGATTGTGTCTTTATTGCTGAGCAATATTTTACAAGTAACGAAGGTTTGCTTTCTATCATATGATATAAGAAAATGGTGGTAGTGAAGAAATAAAGGGTATTCCAAAATTCACGCGAGATTTGAATTTTGCGCCATCTGTGCGGTACAGGGTTGCCAACGGGAAAAGATAGACAGCGTGACAGTCGATATTTCTAGGTTATTAACCCTTTGCACTCGAGAGGTGAGCTTCAGTCACTATTTCATAAAATTTGGAAGATCGATATTAATTAATGTATCAAATTTAATGTAATGTAACAGTGTGCGAAGTATCGAAGTCAAATAATTTTATAATTCTATTATTATACTATTTTTTATTTACTGCTCAAGAAAGTATCGTCAGTTTTTTAGTAGAGAATCTTTGAATTTCTACTCTTCTCTAGCCAAAATATCGTCAAGTGCAAAGGGTTAATATTGAGTACTACATGTAAGATTGTGTCTTTATTGTTGAGCAATATTTTACAAATAACGAAGGTCTGCTTTCTATCATTTGATATAAGAAAATGGTGATAATAGGGAAATAAAGGGTATTCCAAAATTCGCGCGAGATTTGAATTTTGCGCCATTTGCGCGGTACAGTGTTGCCAACGGAAAGAGATAGACAGCGTGACTCAACTCAAAACTCGAGTTACCGCTGCGAAAAAGAGATACGTGTATAATGTTTCTGACTGTTCTTTAAGCCTACTAAGTTTCATCCAAATTGGAGACCGTTCGCGACATCTTGTTAGACGGTTGGCACCATCAGTATGGCGCACCCGGTGCATATTCAAAGCCGAATATCTCGATTACGAAGCTTCAAATGAAAAAATTTTATTCTTTATTTTCGATTTGTTTTTTCACGTAGAATCATTATTGCTGTATTGTTTCGTGAATTCTCTCCACCACCCTCCCCTCATATATCACTATAATGTATTATTATACTATGTACACGTAAACTTATACTGTATTATATGAGTACTGTTATAGAGTGACAGTGATAGACTCTTGTTAATATTCTTAATTTAATATCTTTATATATTTTTATCACATAAAGAGTGTTCCATTGTATATGTTACATTATTATATATATATACTATAAATATTCTGTGTTTTACGTTAGTATAACACTATACTATACTATTACGTTAGTATAATTGAACACGTTATATTGTATTAGGATATAATTATTTATAATTATTGTGCTAGTATATTATGCTATAAATAAATGTATAGTGTAGTAAATAAACATATTTACTATAATATTCTATCTATTTACTATAATATGTGAGAATACAGTTTTATTGTATTGGATATATTAAATATTTTATTTTATTATTTATTTTATTATTTAATATTTTATTATTTATTTTACAATACTGTATGTGAGTAGTTACATGTACAGTATAGCTAATACAATTAATATAATTATTTTGATCATTCTATGTAACGATATTTGATCTATTTACTATATTATGTGAGAATAGGATATCGATTAATATTTATTAGCATTTATTAATATTTTTGGTTTTGATATTGAAGACTATTGAGAATATACTCTTCGTGTATGTATATACAATACTTGCACGCGTTATATAATACGTGTTTAATTTGCAGATACGGTGCTAGTGCAGCAAGTGGACTTTTTGGAGACCATTTTGGAGGAAACTTCCGACGACCTACAGAGCGATTCCGATCGAAGTGGGACCACCTATTGGGTCGGCTCGGATTCTGAGACCGAGAGCGTGATACACATACGGGCGAAGCAAAGATTGGCTGGTAAGAAACACAGAAATGGTGTCATGTTAAATATTAATGTATTCCTCTGACCGGCATGTCTATCAGGAATTATCTAACAATGCTGCTAAAAATAGTGGAACTCTTGGATCACGCTGTGGAATATCAATTTGACAACTAATCCAAACATGGTGGCTCATTGCCACACGTTTTATGCTTTCTGATGAGATAAAAATGATTTTGTATTTGTACAGAAGTTTCAACGTTCTAGCAAAATTATTAAGTGCATTTGGAAATTTATCAGACTATTTTCTTAGGGAAAATTTTTAGTTATTTTTTAAAATCCTTTTTCTTTTATTTTTTTATTGTACTGTACAAAATGTGAAATAATTTTGAAATTTTGAAATTCCATTGCTGAATGAATTGCTAATCTGAAAATACATTTTTGATTTCTCTGAATATTTTTAGATAAGAATGTACAGGTTCTTTATCTCTTTCTTTTTATTTTTTATATTTTTATTGTATTGTACAAAATGTAAAATAATTTTGGATTTTTGGAATTGATTCAGGTATTAACTTCATTGAGGTATTAAGGCTGAAACAGAAATGATATGCAATATTTTTTGTAAATGATTCTGAAGATAGTAGGAAGTTGTAAAGGACTGAAGTTACTACTAATTATTTTACTACTAATATTTATTGCTACTAATTATTTTACAAGGTATAAAAGCTTAACACAAGGTGTAATCAGTTTTAATTCTTTCACGCGTTGCACAAAGTTTGAAATGGTATGTTATAAATATTTAAAAATAGGGAAGACTTACAATAATAACATATAATTTTATGCCTTATAAATTTTTACTTTAGACAATTACGTAGACAAACTATAACTAGTTTATAATTTTCATTTGAAACCTAATAGTTCGTGACTAATAATATTTTACTTTCGTAATGTTTGAAATTATTCGTAATTATTCCATACTACCCAAGATTGATGAATATCGCTCAAATTTACAGTAATAACTAATTAGTAATTATTAACTAGCTTATGTATTCTAATGACTCGTTATTGTTTCAATGTGCAAATTTTTGTATAGAATGTATACCCATTATAGCACTGGCTATTTACTATTGTCAAGCTTCCTATTTTTATTTGCTGTAAGTTGTGGAATTCAGTAGACATCTGGTATAAGTGCCATTTTCCCCAAAACTAATATAATTACAGTATAAATTCATATAGATGCCATCACCTTGACTGAAATAATCAATGATTAATATAAATATATACAAATTCAATAACCAATAATTAATAATTAAACGTACAGATGAATTAATAACCAGCATCACTGTATAGCTATCCTTATGTTACGATGGTATACACGTGCCATGAATTCTGTTCAAATATCGTCACTTCAATCCTGCAATTTTTAAAATGCACATTTAACACGTACACCTAAATATAATAAAAATTTCGAATAGAAAGAGTTCTCGGGATACCTCGTATATTTTTCTTCATGCGAATTAAAGGTTTTCTTTCTACACGCCATTTTTCTTCCAAACCTGTCAATTTATTGTCTCACTCGCACCTTCACGGTATCTCGTGATCCTTCTGGATGGTGACTGCACCGTTAGAACGATGAATATTCAACATGCCAGTGCCATCTTTCGGCAATTAGTGCGAAGCATCGTCTCCGAACGTTGTCGATTTATTCTAACCTTATTCTACGATCATAAACATAACACACGTAAGCTAGTGTCTCTGAAGGACAGCAGAGTTTATCCTGTTTTATTTTGATATCACAGATCTGGCCTTTCACGTGTCCCAATGGGTTCTTCGGATTAATAATAATTATTAACACGAAATACAACTTTCCAGCCGCGTGTTCGGTCAAGTGTATACCGTTGCGTCGAAACGCTCGAAGACATATGACATTAAAGACGAGCGAACGGTATTTCGTTTCGGAATGTATCTTGTGAAATCTCATTCTCACATCGTGTACCAGTCGGTGAATATTGTTCATTGGAGGTTCACTTTCACCTTTCAGTTTGATCCCTCGATTCATTGACTCCCAAAGAATGAAATCGTAACTCATTCAAAGCCAGTTACATCTCGTAACCTGTTTCCCTTGCATATAATAGCGTGCACTTATTATAAGTGCACTTGTTTCTCGTTTCTTGTGAAACAAGTCATACTATAAGTACATGTAATGAGAGATGTTATACGATAGATATTACGAGAAGAGTTCGTTGATACTTTGGAAGAGAAAATGTTTACGAGTGTTCTATTTGAACTTTGGATTTTTGTAAATTAATTTTGGAAAAATTTTTGGGGCTTAGGTGAGAATTATTAATAATATTAGGATTAAAAATGTGAGGATTGTGAATACAGTGAAACGGTATTATTAATTTAATAGTAAAGGAAAGTTATATATTTGTAAATTAATTTTGGTAAATTTTTGGGGTTAGGTGAGAATTATCTATAATTTTAGGATTAAAAATTATGGGAATTGTGAATACTGTGAAACGGTATTATTAATTTAATAGTAAGGGAAAGTTATATATTTGTAAATTAATTTTGGTAAAATTTTTGGGGCTTAAGTGAGAATTATTAATAATATTAGGATTAAAAATTGTGGGGATTGTGAATATTGTGAAATGTTATTATTAATTTAATAGTAAGGGAGAATTATTTCTTAGGTTTATTTTATAACGTTATATCTCCTTTATCGGATATGCAGTTGGATTTTTCCACTACTCGAATCGAGAGGGAGACACTGTCGTTCGGACAGGAGACATCTTTAGATAGAACCTTCCTTTAAACGAATTATATTTACCCATCATTTTATATATGAAATATATTATTATATTTTGCCTATTTTTATATCCCTTAATATTTAAAAGGAAAAGTAATGGAATTTATTGATTTGAAATATTAAATATGCCTAATTTTTGTAATTTTTTACTGTCTTTCATGAAAAATATTACACTATATTATAGTGAATAATTAATGTGAAATTTATTTAGCCGATATTAGTTATTTAAAAATTAGCAATTTGATACAAAATTATGGGAAGGTTCTGCTTTTGAAAATTTTATATTTAGGTGTCGTTAATTTAAAAATTTTACCTTTAAGGTAGGAATTTTAAAAGTGGAACATTGTGTGCTATCGTAATGATATAATCGTAATTATGGTATAATGTCATTGGCACAGGAACAAGTAGCACTAATTGCAGTAATTATACGTGAGATAATTAGGCTATTTGAAAGCAGATGTGCAGCTGCATTAATAAAGAAAAGTTTGAAAAAAGAGCACAGCAAACAGAGTGATATAATTGATATGACATACAACGCATAATCTCAGGCATCTAATGATATTGCAAAAGTCATTAATTAGTCATGTCCTTTTTATTTCACCATTCTTGTTTTTCCAGATACTTCTTCCTGACATTAATATATGCATATTTCATTATTCATTTAATAGAATGTCTCAGTTTCAGAAATATTTGTGAATTATACAAATTTTAAAACAATATTCAAAGAAAAATAGACTCTTATATTAATTAGACTAATAATTACCATTGGACTGCATCAATAATAATTATAATACTATAATCTTAAATATCAGTGTATTGAAAACAAGTTATACTTGTAGAACAGCTACCTAACTTTACCTTAAAGAGAGACTTCGTTTCACTTTTTCTAATTAATTCATTTTTCGACATCGACTTTTAAAAACTGAAAGTCCGCATCACGAAAATGGCTGGGAAATAATATGATTCAAATTTCTTCTTAATTACTTGGATATTCGATGATCACAGATATCTACGATACAATTTCATAAAACAGAGCAAAATGTTCGTTTCACCGAGAAGGATGAAAAATTATGCGTTATTGTTTCGTTTTCCTTTTTTCAATAAGTCTTTCGATTCGTTATCGCTATTTTCTGCAATTAAGTTAATTAATAAGGAAACATATTGCTGCGAATGCTTTCAATTGCTACATATAGCAGATTGCTCATTACTTTCTAAAAAAATATTCCTCTCGTTTCGATTTCCATTTAGCAAAATTAATTCTCGTTATATCACATCGATTATCGTTAGGATAATTATATCTAAGCACGCATTAATGGTCGGTAGCTGTAGTGGTTAGATCATTCTTCGGGATGGATTTATCGGTTATTTGCATGCTAAATCCCTGTGACTATGCAACCGGTGCAACGTATCGGCATGTCCGGTTGCCGTTCCGCAGGAGCCGTGCACTGCAGCCCCGTACATTTTGTTCGGGGAGCCCGGGACAATTTCGCGATCACGCAGGATCGATAGGGGAACCGTCGTTCGATCCTCGTGATCCGACAATGTATCGCGATCTTTGTGCAAACGTTGAAAGAGAAACGCAAGATAATTCTTCTGTTTTCGTTCGTATAATTCGTTGCATAATTTTCCACCCAAGTAGACTTATATCACTTGTTACGGTAATTAGACGATAATTACACGTAGACAATTAATTTCTTCTGTTTACTGCCTACCGTTACCGTTCAGCGTTTTATTAAACGTTGCTCGCCCGTTGGAAGATTCGCTGCATAGGTGCTAATCACTCTTGCTAATTGAGCGCTCGAGATTTCGCAACGAGTAAAAGCGGATCTGGGGAAGAGTTACTTCCAGTGCTTTGGTGTCACTGATCTAGGGAAAAATGATGTATCTTGGTGGTAACTTTTTAAGCTGACAATTGGATACTGAAAATTGTATGTAAATGGAACGGATACTATATCTCTGTCAGGGAAGATTTTGTAAACTATATTTATATTTTGTTTATATTTTTATTTATTTTTAAATGTCTTATTTAGTACATTTTTTCAATTAGTTTCTTTGTAGTGTGTTCAGTATTTTAATGAAATATTGTAAGAGATAGAATGAATAATAATCGACTAATATTGTGCTCAGTAAATAAGGCTGAGGAAGTAACATAACCTAACTTTTTGTCGGTTCTTGTCTGCTGTTCTTTAGTATATTAGATACAGAGTAGTTTTATTGAAAAGGTACATT